TTGCAGTAATCCCCCCAAAAGCCCCAAAAGTTGGTATGGGAAATCGGGTAAAGTTGTATTAGCAGAGGTGAATGTTACTTTCTTAGATACAAATGTGTAGTTGAATCTAACTTCTCATCCACACTTTTTATTGTATTTTATTACAGAAAGCAAATTGGTGAAGTTCTAGCTAAGTCATATCTTGTAGTCATAGAATCAGACCACTTAATTGCTAGAGTGGTAGCCAGGTATTTTTATTAGTATTTGGTTTAAACTGACCAAATAATCTTAATTTGTATGTACTCATTATGATCTTAAAAAGTGACAATTTGGATCTTTACTCTTAAACTGCTTCAATGCCAAAAGCTTGTTAGTACATGCAAATGCTTTTCTTCCAGTCCTCCATGCTCTAAAACGTATTTTGTCAACAGAACTGATGCATTTAACTTTCTTGCTGTAGTATTATATCTGTTTTATTACAGCACGCTGAGCCATAAAGAATTCAGGTTCATCTATCCAGTACTGCCATTTTGCATGTTTTTTTGTGGTAAGCATTGGTTTCAAATGTCTTGCAACCTTCCCTGTATATAATTTTTACCTAAAGAGAGACTGTTAATAGTCACTGTAGGTATTTGACAAAGGATTCTTAGAACTAGCCTAACCTTTTCTTACAGCTGGGATTGGAGGGGGGTTGGGGGCAAGATGAGGAACAGCAAGTGACTGAAACACAGGTGGAGAATTCTTAGCATGGATAAAAGTACTTCCTGCAAAAAATGTGAAAATTGCCTCAGTGACTTCTAGCTTTTTAGCAATGCCACTCTTACAGTTAATTTTGTTCCTTGGCTCCTTTGTAGTGTTTTTCCACCCCGTTCTCTCAAATATGCTTGACAAATGCCTTTGAGTATGCAACAAAAAAATTAAAGTTCAAAACCTAAGTTATCCTTTTCTAGATTCAGGTGTGTTAGCAGATGATGCTAGTTTTCTGTCTGCTCTTGACCAACCACCAGCAGGAGGCTACTTCCCACAGAAGTTTTAGAGCAGTTAATGTGATAGCTTTTTCCTTCAGGCATAGTACAGTGAATTTGTTAAAACAGCAATAAGGTCCCTAAACTAATGCAGTTAACTTAAAAGAGAATATGTCCACAGTTTAAACTGGAAAGCATATTGCTTTCACTAATGAAGACTCTTCTGATACTTTAACAGAAACTTTCAAAGTATTCATTTATTTTTTTTCCTGTTTTGTTTTGTGTTTTTTCTTTTAAACACAGAAAAAAGCCTAATAAGGAAGTATGTTATATTTTACAAAACTAGGTATTAACTACAGTAGTGTATCTATAGGAAAAGTAAAATCATGACGTAAAGTCTAATGTGCTGAAAAGTTACAAAGGAAAGATTAAAAAATTCTGGAACATGAAGCTGTATAACTTTAGTTTAAATACAAGTTCAAAACAGATGAATCAATGAAAACTGCAATTTTCTTCAACCTGTTTTGCTAGTCTAAACAAAAGTAAGTCTTATTTCAATAATTTTGCTCTCTGCTGAGATCAGATATGTAGTATGTCTTGGCTTAGTTCAATAGCAGATTTAAGATGAACCAGTTCTACCTCACATGCAGAAAAATTCCAGTCAATCAGACCACTATTTTTTGTTAATATCCCTCTTAACTTTCATGTCTCTAAGGGAGTGAAGGCATCTATACAATTTATTAAGAGCTAATTATCGTCCGTTTGGATACTTCAGGAAAGAAAAAAATTACAAAAGTTATTTCTGATAACTCAGTGGTTACAAAGAGGTCTTTAAATTGCTCGAAGTATTATAAATAAGAACAGAAGAACACCCCACATGATTTCAAAATCATTTCCAAGCACTCTGAAAGATAAGCTAAGAGCGTTTTACAAAAGCAGTAAAAGCCTGTAATAGAATGTTTCCACTCGTGATTTACCTCAGACTAAAACAAGGTCTGTGGTTTAAGATCTGCAGTTTGTCAGAACAGCCCAACTGAAGACAAATTTAACTTACTTGTTACTGACTTCTGAAACAGGCCTATTCTAACTTGTTTCTTGTGATTCAGTAAAGGTGGTTACAGAGCTAGGCTGCATAAAATATTACCATCTCCTAATACTGACAAGCACATGACTTAATAAGGGTTTCCAGCATGAAACTGTCTTCTGTGCCAGGTTCATCTAAGTTGTGGTTGCGAGAAACAGGTTTATACACCTATCTCCCACCAGGAGAAATGTCTCTTCCCATTATTAGCTCCTTCAAGAAAAGTGGGGGGGAAGGGGCAGGGATGGGAGATGGGAAACGATGGAGGAGTAAGCTTTTCCAAGGATAGTAGCTCAAAAATGAACGTTCACAGGGGAATGCTCTAGCTTTCAGCATGGTGGAGAAAAAGAATACCACAGCCATACTAAAGCATATGTAGTTATCATTTATTCTGGGTCTACTTGGACACGCGTGAATTAGAACACATCAGTAAGTTGCTACATATCATATTTTTCCCCCCAAGAAATTAAAATTAAGCTCTAAAGGGACAAAGCACTGGCTTTGAATTTGTACTTTTGTACTTCAAGAGACAGGTATGGGCTTAACATTTACACTGTTAAATCCAAGAGTTAATAAGGGCAAAGTCTAGCCTTTGAATTGCTATGCAAAGAGTAAAGACTGAAAGAACACTGTATTAAAATACCTCAAAGCAAGGTATTGTTATCAACTGAGTATTGGTTTTCCAGTAAGTTACAGTACTTTCAAAAATGCTGTGTGGAACTGTTAGTATTTGCTTATCTCTAAAACTTCCTCAAATTTTTCTATAGGATATTCTTTGAAACACCTGAAAGCATGGAAGAAATCTGCAGCAAGTTTCCTGCTTTTATCAAACTTACTCCCAGCCCTGTATACAGGCTTGATTCACCAGCGAGGCTCTCTTGATGTTATGAGTCACATACAGCAACTCTGTAATAACTCTTACCAGTCACAAGCTTTTGTCTTCATCATGATGCCATGCCACTCTACTCCATTTTACAGGTATTAAAATAGTTAACAATGTACTATATTAAAATCTATACACTTAAGCAGAAATTAAGATTTTTTTCTTTTTTCCCTAAGCTTAATAAATTGAGATGGATAAACATATACAGGAAGAGTTTTGATTTTCCATACAGTTATTACAGAACAAATAGGGGAAATAAGCCACATGCTTACACCACAGAATAAAATGCTGCATCTAAGCTTTATTCAGGTTTTGTAAAGTAGCTTTGTATGAAGATATGCAGTAAGTCTTACGACTTCTGAAAGTAAGTCATACTGCTTCGTTATGGTAACTTTTGTAGCAAAACTAAAGACTTATTGTTACAGTCAAACTGTATTAATTTTACCTTTACTTCTGCTGCTAGAGAGTAAAGAAATGTAATTACAACATACAGTGACTGAGGTCACTATTCCAAAAAGTTTGCAATAGATCCTGACAAATAAACAGAACATTAAAGCAGATATAAACAGTGAAGCTGATATGGAAAAGTACCTTTTTAAGAAACTGATGTTACACAGATAGTATTTTTATTAACATAAATCTGCTTTCTGTGAACTGCTAACAACATAGTCACAGCAGTTTGGAGCTGAATCCACTTGTTCAACTTTTGCTTTCATATCAAGTACAGGAGGGAAGCAAATATGACTCTGGGGAAAAAAACCTGATTATTCAATTTTGGTTTAGACTGAGGTATCTTTAAAGTGACAAGTCATTTCAAATCTTAGATACTGGTCAGTTTATCCTGAAGTGTTTGTTTTGTTTTTGTCCCTAGTCACATTCACTGTCCTCTAAAAATGAGATTCCTTCAGTGTCCCCCAGACCTAACCGGAAATGAGAGCTATATTGATGAAGCAGATGTATTTTACTCTAATCCACTTGGCTGGCTTAATAAGGAGTTTCACAAGGATACATTATTACCCAGTCACTTGATCTTCTTCAGTGTGCTAGAACAGGTATGGTAACTGCAAGGTCAAACAAACTAGTTTTGAAGTCAAATTAAAAAAATAAATTAGGGGAGTTATAGTTAAGATTTGTGAAAATTGTTGTCCACAGCTTTTTAAAACACAGCTTAAATTAAAATTGAACCCTCTAGTCCATAATATAGTGTAGATACCATTCTAGTGATAAATAATTAAGATTCATGTATGCCCTCTCCTCTCTGCAAATTCTACAGGCCATAAAGTAATGTTTTATGGAATCCTCCTCAAGCTGTATTAAAACAAATGTGTGGTCTGTTCCCAGAACCATATACTTTTAAGTAAGCAACAATGACAAACAAAAACGTTGCTTGTAACTCTGCAGTCATAGTACGTTTTCTCTTCAATTCTTTTATGAAGTGCATGTACTCAAACAACCGTGTCTGGTGAATATCCACTCCAGACAGGATCAAACAGGATAGGTACCTCTTTTTCTAGCAGTCTCTCCTAAAATAAAAGATAAAACTTCCAGGGGACAGTTGAATTGATGGTTTTCAGAAGACTTTGGAATACTGTTCTGATGCTCCCAACTACACATTCTGACTGTGGAAACTAATGTATGTTCCTTTACAGGAAATATCATCATTTCTAGCGTTAAGGGGCTATGAGAAAATGGCCACTGTCTTTCATACTCATGTACCTCAAGGACGAGTTGGAAGCCACATCTATGTCTACAGGAAAAAAACTGAAATGAATCATACCTGAAGATCAGTTTCTAGACTTAAGATGTAATGAGATCAGTTTTGCATAGCAGTACTATGCTTAGAAGATCTTGTACTGCAGAAAGGAGAGAGTAGTGAGTCTGAAACTGGGTAAGTCAAATGGGGAAGTGTGAGATTAGGCAGCCATTGGCTGTCTGGAAACACTAAGCCTCTTCCTGAAGGCAACTTCAGTAGCAGTATGGCAGGGTGGGGGCACTGACCTACCTTACAACACTAGAAAACATCAGGAAGACCAAAGTTACCATATGACCACTTAAACAATAAGAAATTAGGTAAGACTGGACCATTTTTATAGAACTGTACAGCTATGCTAGCTTTGTTTTATAAATAAAGACTTTTATCCATAATGTCTCTTTTATTTTTCTTCTACAATATGCAGATAGGCAAGACATTTCAAGTGCTTAAATCAGCAAGCTGATTAGAATGCAGCACAGCAAATTCTTCACAATTCAACAGGCTCTTGAACCCCCCCCCCCAAAAGACAAGAAGCAAGTATAAGATTACAAAACACTAACAAATACATTACATAATGTAGACCTATTTTTTGAAGAATGAGATGAAGTTAGTATATCAAACATTGGAGTTAATTATTGGTGCATTATGCATGACTCAAGCTTGAACTACACTAATGGAATGCAATTAAGCATATTTTTCATACACAAGTCATTGCATGCCTGGTTTCTGCAACAATACTGCTGGCACCCAAACTAACATCACTTCCAAAGAACAGTTAAAGCAACAGTACAGAATACGCAAATTAGAAAGCTTGACTTCTGCCTTTTAACAAAGATGTGTAAAAATCAAAATTATTTGGAGAAAAAACTTGCATCTTGCCGCTTTGTTGAAAAACAGTTAGTTTCTGGAGAGGATGTGAATTATTAATTCTAATCTTATTTTTACCATAAATTACTCAATATTTTGGATCAAAGGGTAATTGCCCCAATTCTATTTCAAGATTTGCCATGTGTCTTCCATTAGTGCGACCATGTTTATGCCATTTACCTTCTCTTTTATTACGGTGGTGGTACTTCTGAGCTTGTTTTTCATGTCTGGAATTTTCAGTTTGTGTAAAAGAAGGCCTTTTAGGTCGACTGCAAGGAGCAAACAAAAGCTTATTACTACTCTTACGAAAGCATCTCTCTGAAAACATTTTGAAACACAATTACAATTGTCAAGAACAGCTTTTAACATGCTGAGGTTGACGGGAAACAAAATTAGTATTAAGAAGTAGTCCTTTCTCTTGTAAGCAAAATCGGGGTGGGGTTTATTTGTTTGTTTAAATCATCAATAAGTTGGTATATTTGAAATAAATCCTTTCTAAAAATAGAAATGCTCTGCAGCTGGTTGCCCAAAATTCTTTTTAGAATAAAAGCGGGTAAACAGCTGTTTGATTATCCCTACTGTGATGCCCAAGTGAGGTCTCAATCTATTTCTCAGTTACTCTATCACATTCTGCTCTACAAAAGTAGTGAAAACTTTACAGACCCTTAGAAAAGCATGTTTTGTGTAAACATAGGCACTTCAGAGGTTTTCATGTACAGTAAATACATTTATACAGAGAGAGAGGGCACTGGCAAAACACTTGCTCACGTTTCATTTTTTGATGCAAAAGTCCCATTATACTACATGCTGTTACATGACCAGCATCTCCAGCCTTCTGCTAAGCTGAGTTAAGGCTCTTTTCATCCTCAGTATCATACAAACTTCTGTATAATACTATCAGTAAAGGAATTTGAAATTCTGTTTTTCTGCAAACTGAATTAAAGTACTCAAAAATTAAGTATTTAAATTAATTTAAAATTATTAATAAATTAGTAAGAAGTACTTGCACTATAAATAAAAACATAAAACTTAGGTCATGTGTTTGCCAAAACTACATATTAAAAAGGCTACTTGGTAGCTGATAATAGGAGTATCATCCTCCTGGTTCAGCTTTTAATAAGAGAAAGAACTACCTCACATAATATTTAGTAACCCCGAAGTAGTTAAGTATTCGGTCCAAAAGAGAAACCTGACTGAAGAACTGCACCTTGATCTAAATACTAAATATGCTTTGCACTGAATACCAGCACAGGGAAAAGTTCTGTTGTGTCTACAAGGACAATTTCTTGTGTATTACAAATTAGTTAATATGTCACATTTTTCCTTACCTGATCAGAATAAACATTAGTACAAGAGACTATATAGCCAATTTTGTAATAGCAATGATATTAAAAGCCACATAAAATATATACATAAGTGTTCCAGAACGAGCAAGTTCCACACAATGTATTAAGGCTGCTTGCTTAATTTTCTTTCACCAAAGTCTATGCAGCAGAAACAGTTCACCATATCTAGCTCCATTGGGCCAGCCAGGTAGCATACCACAACCAGTCTGTAGAAGCCCTGAGAATACCATTAGATACGGGAAAGTAACGTAGGAAACAATTCACGCCAAGGACCTTTGTAAGGAAGTCTGAACAAAACGTAGTCGGGATCAGGATCTGAACTAAAGCCTCCCATTTGAGTAGTGCTGCTCTGGGCATGCAGACTAACTCAGTATTATACTAAGCTCCAAGGGAGTTGTGAAATTCCTGAAAAGCCAGCAGGGAATATACCTGCCAGAACAGACTTTGAGACTGCTCAAATATATCCAAAAACTTTCTCATTCAGGGAGGGACAACAAGGAAGTCCTAGTTAATGCTTCCTCTGAGCTAGTTATTCATTCCATCAGATAGGCAATCGTAGCTGTTCAGTCTAAAGTAATCTTACTTGTAGTTACATAGTTTTCTAAAGAACTCGGTAGAAATACTAGATTGTGCTATGTACAGTGGATCTGTAGTGCCTCACAAACTAACATCACACACACACAAAATTTATATATAAGGTGTGTGTATATATATATAAGGATCCACTTTATATAAACACAATCTAGTATTTCCATTGAGTCCTTCAGAAAGTCTTCTGGTGTGGATATATGTATATACACATATACATACATGCTAGAAGACCACCTTAGAACAAGAACACTAGCTGTCTTTACAAAGACTACTTCATTGTGTTAACAAGTTCAGGAAACATGGAAACAAACCTGGGTCCATATTGGGGTAAATTATCATAATGAAAGTAGTATCTGTAGATGTATTTGTCCAAATCCTCAAAAACCTTTTCATTATTATTTTGGTATTCCTTCATATCTTCAAGGTAATCCTTGACATCATTAACAAAATCAGTGAACAGCATCTGGTCATGTATAAATACCCCATTATGAAAAAACTTATTGACGAAATTTTCTAGTTCTCTCCAGTGATGAAAATTATGTACAACTTGTTGCAAATACTTTTTCATTAGCCGATTAAATTCATCCACCCTGATAGGATCCGACACTCTGTTGAAGAGACTAATGAATTCTTGACGAGCACATTCAAAAATACCAGAGCAACCCTTTAAGACAAACTGATGTTTTCTATTACACAAAGGATCACTGATGCATTTGTGTGAATCTGTATATTTTTCAAATGTTGTAAACTGATGTTTTCTTCCATCTTTGAATTCTTTTGGCATGTTAGGTCCCCTGTAATGCATGTGCTTCAGATTCTCGTAAGAGTTATGTTCTCGGTAAAAAGTTCGAGCTTTCTTGTTTGCCTCGTGTCTTTTATCATTTGACTTCTTCTTTTCATCAAAGATGTTTTTTGTGGTATCTTTGAAGTGTCTGAATGTCGACTTTACAGAATCAGAGAATTTTTTCAGGTTTTCTTTCACTGCTTCTTTAGCCTGCTTAATCTTTTCTTTATGGTGTCTTACAAACTCTTTTGTGGAATTTTTCATAGCATCAAAAGTTTCTTTAACTGAACCAAAAAATGATTCCTTTGATTTCTTTTTAGCCTTACTTTGCCCTTTAGCACCTTTCTTTTGTCCCTTTTCATTCATTTCTTGTTTTTCAGTTTGGTCTTTCGCTTCAACATACAGCTTCTCCCATAAGTCAGAGCGCTGCTGCTCAAAGTTTAGCTTTTTTTCTAGTTCTGCTAGTCTTCCTCGCAGAGTTTCTATTTCTTGATTTTCTCTTAATGTATCATCATCAGTATTGTCAGGTGTTTGACGAGAACTTAACTGTTCCAGTTCTTTTTTTAGAGCTTCTGTAACATGACGTTCTTTGTCCAGTTCTCTCCTTAACATCTGTGCCTCTGCAAAGAGTGTTTCCTTTTGCCTAAGAAAGTTGTGGTTTCTTTGCTTTTCCTCTTCCAAATGTTCCCGTAGTTTCTGATTTTCCATTACAATAGACTCAGTGCTAGTACCTTTATCTTCTAAGTTTCTAATTTGTTGTCTTAGCTTCCTTAATTCTTCCTGAAGTGAGGCCAATGCTTTTTCTTCCTTCTCTAGAGATTCTCTTAAGTGCTGATTTTCTGCAGCAAGACTTTTTTTTTGAGATTCAAAGGATTTCTTCTCCACCTCAGTAGAGGTCAAACATGTGGCAAGATCTCCCTTGAGTGACTAATACAAAAAGAAAAAAAAAAAACACAAGCAAAAATACTACAATTAGGATTGTTACAATTTTAGCTAGAAAGATGAAAGACCAAGGTAGCCCAGACAGAGTTTACTTATCATTTTGGATGGAGCAACACACATTGCAGCAGGATGCAAAAATAGAGCTAGTTTGTTTACCTCAGATATATACACAAACACTTTCTTGGCAACAAAGACCATGTGAGAGGCTCCCCCTTCCAAGCAGAGGTCATCACCTCTCGCTTGCATTGGTTTAACTAGCTGAAGAATAGCAAACTGGGTACATGAATTGATAAACCTTAAAAGAAAATGAAAACATGTGTGTTTGCTGTTGATTTATGTTCAGCAAACTGGGTTTACAGATTGCAAAACCAAATACATTAGCAGAAGCAGCGGCTGATTCAACAGTTGGGGCAGAAATTCAGAACTGATTCTGAACTAAATTTGCTGATGAAAATACACGTTCGTGTAACTATATCCTAACACAAAAGGATCTCCCCAGCATCTCTCTTGGCATCCTTGACAAACTCTAGAACTAAACATACTGAATTACGTATAAATACTGCTATCAGCAACATAGAAGAAAACTTTTAACACCAAACACACACACACAAAGCACTCCCTAATCTTCTCTCTGCATAATCTAACAGTAAAAAAAGCACAGGTTAAGTATTTAAAAAATTAATAACCATTGACAATTCAGAAAGCAACTTCACAAAACCTGTAGGTTCAACCTGTAATAGGTTTTTACCAGCATGTTCTACTTCAGCTGTCTTCATTAATGACAACCTGGCATCATTGGGAAAGAGACAGTCTCTGTGTCCAGATAACTCCTAGACTACATATATAAAAACCAGTATGTTTAAACACATTCCAGTAACAAATTTGATCAAAATCTTTGTCAAGAACTCAGGGGAAGTAAACATGACATTCTCAGAAAGAACTTACTAAAGAAAAAAAATTTAATGCATTTGCGTGATTAATTTCACTTTGTGTAAATGACACACACAATGACAGTATAACCCAATGACTTCCAGATAAATTCATACCTACCCCCACTTTATAATGCACTTTATCTCCTTGCTCTTGTTGGCACTGGTAAAGGTCATCTTTCATATCCTTTAATTCACGTGTCTTTGTCACCAGCTGCTGACGTTTCTGGATCTGTATGGTACCTACAAAGATAAAAACTTTCTTTTGATAGTCCGACTTTCCGACTTACATCAAGTAGTTAGAGGAACAGACAAACCTAAACATCATCTTCATTTTCTCTGCAAATTCAAAAGCATTCTTACCTTGCAATTTCTGCCCAGTAATTACTAGTAACTGTTTAGCTGTAACAAAATAAAGATTATAAAACCAGATTGTTACATACTGATTCTGTTTCTTCCAATGATAAACAATTTCTCAAAACAGACCAAAAAATTCAGCGTCTTTTATTTGATGATAACAAATGAAGGAATTTTGGAACACTACATAGAAATAAGTTAGATACAAAACAACAGAAGTTATGCAGGAAAGGATATGTGTGATTTTTTTGTCCTTTTTTTAGTAACATGCAAGCCAATCAGGATAAAAGGGAGACCATTAGTCCATGAATTATCCATTTCAGAACTACAACTTCCAAGTAAAGTTACATAAATAAGAGGATCTTAACACAGTAGTCAAACTTCCATGCAGAAACACAATTATTACACACTGCTCACAACACAGCAAGTATTTGCAGGCCCTATCTTGTCATTCTTATCCATGAGTGAAGAACAAGCAAATATCCTATCTTTCAATTGTCAGATGAAGGCTGAGACGCTATTTTTCTGAAAAAATGTCTTCATTATACTAGCCACCAATTTTTTTCCATAAAGTAAAATTTCTTTACTGGTACTTCCCTACCTATACACATGTTCTGTAAATCCTAACGCTGATGTAGTTTTTATTTCTTTGCTTTTAAGATTCTCTTGAATTGACTCTACAGCAGATGGCAACAGCAGGTTTTAGGTATTTCTTTCAAAACCAATGCAGCATATGCAGAGTTCTATTTCTGTATTTAAGGGGGGGGGGGGGGGGGGGTGTTGGTGTATTAAACAGAAGAAATTCTATAAATTCTATTGTATTGAGGAATTTTTTTCTGCTCTCAATTTCTATTTAACATATTGTCAAGTATGAACTTAAAAACAGACAATGCTCTATTAAACCAAGTTAAACCTCAATAGTTCAATTCAGCTAAGAGAAAGCACTGGTTTTACAGCAATGATTTTAAGTTTGCAGAATCCTAATAAACACTTATTGGAAGCACAGGTCCTTGCATAAGTGAATTTAAGCATACTGACAGTAAGTTTGTTTTTCATATTTATGTTTTATAGATACTTCTGAAGAAGTCCATTGATCCTAAGAATCTGAAGACTGCCTCTGAAAAATCATCATTTAGCGTAAAGGGTTCATGTTAAAAGGAACCTGAATTACAGAAACACACTTAAACTCTGTTTCTCTCCTTATGAAGAATCATAATTTAGATACAGTAAGCAAAAATGACTTTTATCAACACAGAAAGGGTAGCAAAGACACTGAAAATGCACATAATAAGGTACCATTCCTCAGTAATTGGTTTGTGTTTCCAGCTGGTACTCTAAGTCAGAGTACCTTCAGTATCCTTCAGATTCTTTAAATAATCTATCCAAATCCCTAGCATTACAGCAATATTCCCTTTTGCAGATTCTGGTTAAAGAAAAAAATGAAATATCTGAATGTCCATAAGGAGACACTCTTCTGGCAAGGGCTTCCTAACTTCAGCTTTTCCAGTTCCTGGACAGCTTGCCCTCTTTCAGATCTCCTTCCTAGAGCATCATAAATCCAGCTAACTCAGTTTAATACTGATTAGGATACAGTTATTGATTCAAACCTAATCCTAGTTGCTTTCTACATCTTTAAAAGTCTTAAAGGGGTCCTGGAGCTCTAGCTAAAGGGAAAACACTATCCTGATAGTGACAAAAAAAAAAAAAAGTAATTTCGTAAAAAATAACCCTTTCCAATCCTCTTACATGATAATTAGCCTAGTATTAAAAGACTGCTGTGGAAAACACTCATTTCAAGCTGAATCACAAAAATGCAAAGTACTCCTCTGGGGAGATGGATTTCTTTTTGCAAGTTTGTCTTTTTTTAAAAAAACAAACAAACAAACAAACAAACAAAAAACAAAAAAAACCAGAAAACAGGAAGATGGAAAGAGATGGAAAGCAGGGTTTGATTTCCTTTCTAGTGGTAGAAAGATTAGTTATCACATATCCATGAAAAACTTTCACTTGAAGCAGCAGAAACTAAAGCCACACAGAGTTGCCTTCTTTCTGCTGAGAATGCTGTCAGTGCTGTCATCAGTGATGACCATTTTTATTTAGAAGTACAGATTCAATGAATGAACAAGTCAAAGTGAATCCCTTAATAAAGATATGACCCTGGTTACATTTCCAAAATCTGTTTCTCATCCATAGATCTAAAAAGTTCTTTAGAAGAACAGTATCATTAACCCCAATTTAAACAGAGTAAAATGATTAACAGAAGTGAAACCTCAAGTTACCACAACAAAGCACTATCAGAGACTGGCCTAGTCATTGTGTCCTCTCTGCTTCTAGCATGCCAATATACATCAATCAGTTTTTACACCAGCTACTATTAGCTGCAGCTGCTAAATAAAAGGTATTTCACACAACTGGATTAGTCATTCCTGTAATCCTGCATACACTAGTAATTCTTAAGACTTGATTTTTTTTTTTTTAATGTAAGTATGCATACATGTGTGTGTACACATACACACGCACAATTTAAAAAGGAAACCTGAATGCGAGCACAGCATCCACAACACATCACTCATGACTCTTACCTTCAGGTTTACCTAAGAACAAAAAAAATTAGGGTTGAGTGAAAATTCGTATAAATCTCAAAATAAATGTAAAAATTTAGATCCCTAACAATTAGTCAAAATCAAATCCAATTAGAATCAGTCTCAAATTGAATCACAAGTCTTCTTATGAAGGCACATTTTCATATAAAACTACTCAGGAAAAACTATTAAAAATAAATGCCCCCTATCATTTTTATCATAACGTACGTATCTTAGAAGATCAGGACCACACTACATAGATCTAGATCTGTAATGAGTTCTGCTGATTTGTTAAATGTAGTAACAATCTGTGTAATGCTTAAGTTTAGGCAATGCACTGAACACGGAAAAACTGCTGCTATCCTGGATTCCCTAAACTACTGGAATTGCAAGGACAACTACAGCATATTTTCCTCCACTGGAGAGAGACAAATATTGGTACTATGAACTCCTGTAAAAAACATGCCTTGCTCTTACATTTACCAGATGAGTACATATGGAACAAAAGCCTGAAAAAACTCTGTGAATGCTGTTAGGAATGATAAGCAGTACCACAAATTTATTTCAAAACAAAAGATGTGAAAATGAAGGGTACACACTGCATTATGAGAACAACAAAAAATTTCTATTTATTTTTATTTACTTTTAAAGTAGTGTATATTAAATACAAATGCACCACTGAAGGGCCACCCTGTATTATCCATACCTTAGCAGTTGCTTTTTTTCATTTTTAGGTTTAGATTGTTAGCAGAGAACAAGGAAAAAAAATCAGAGTCACAATAAATTGGTATTTGAATGTAAGATGTTGATTCTATGTCTTTTGTTTTCTATACACTCACCATAGAAGTGTCCAAAGCCCATGCTGATTGCAATCACCAAAGCTAGTATGATGCACCTGTTAAGACCACTACTGAACTGGCGTTTGTGCTGCTCTTCTCTGGGAGGTTCAGACTCCATTTCAGCAGGTGACCCACCCTCAGCCTCGGAGCTAGAGACCAGCCTCTTCTTAGCCCGACGTTTTCGTACTGTGGGGCTGGACTGATTGCTAGTTTCATCACTACTTGATTCATCATTGCTAGCCTGAGATGAAAAAACTGAAAACCAACATAGAACAGTCTTTAAAATGCATTCATTGTTGCTTTGAAAATCAATTTGAGTAGTATTTATGCAAAATGTATTTGGCATTTATCTTGGATAACATTAATAAAAAAAATTAAAATTCTCATTGTGATAGTTTATGCTGGGTATTACACAAGGAATACGTGATTTCCAAAGTTAAAAATTCATTTTTTAAGAGGAAAAGATAGAGAATCAAGAAATCATCAGCAAAAAAACTATATGGCACTTCCCCATACCTTATCATTCACTCATTAGAAAGTGTTTCTTTCAGACAATCCTGCCTCTTAAAGCACCTACATGTACTGCTTCTGCAAGTTCTTGTGAAGTTGAAAGGTTAAGAATTCAGTTTTTCTCCTCTTTCAGATATTAAGACTGAACTACTTAATAACAAAAAAGCAACAGAAAGGCTTGCTAAAAGAAAGCCTCCTAAAAATACAGACATGGTTTTATTACAGTCTCTCAAAAAACTTCTGTGGTCTACATGCAGCTGCAGACACAATTCCATCAAAGTTCCATTGATGTAGATATTATAAATATCCAAACAAAGCTTTGCATTGCAAATTTATTTAAAGATGTAATTTGGTTTACTTTTAATATCTATCATATACTACCTATTAACAACTCTACTGACCTTCCAAAAAAGCCACTTCCAACCACTATGGCACAGGAAAAGAGCCACTCAGGCACTTCTGTGTGTGGCCCTCCCTAACACTCAGAATCCAAAGCGCTTCTATTGCCTGACTGATGTTTTGGAAGACTGAATCGGCCAAGATTTGAGATAAGAACAAATTCTAACCATAAAAAAGTATCTTTTAGAGCATTTTTCTAAAATGGTATTTATGATCCTATTCGTATATTGATGAACCTAGGGCCCAAAAGCCATATATTCTAACCGGGAAAATAACAACAGACCTGTTGCTTGTTGCTATTAGTGGTACAAATGCTTGCTGCATGTACTGTAAATAGATTTATATAATCTAGTATATAAGTAATGATTATTTAATCTCCCTCCTTTAAAAGCATCATTTTCAAGTGTAAGGCAAATATCAAGGGCAAGCAGTAGCAGGGTGAAAAAGCAGCTTTCAAATATGTAGGTATATGTACTTAATTCACATGCCTGAAATAGATTGAATGTGATCAATGAAGCCTCCAACACACGACCAAGTGCTCCTGCTCAGATAGTTCTAATGTGATGCCCACAATTACACAATGCTAATGCCCCTTCTAGAAATATGGTTGTTCATTCTTGTATCAGACATCATCACTCAAATGTAAAAATATAAATACTGTTACTGTCCTTGAACATTTCACAACTGAAAAGCACTTGTTTGAGCAAAGCCGTGCACACATCACTGAGCAGACAAGAATGCCAAGCAGTGCTAGCCGTTATCTATAAAAAGCATTACCAGTTAAGATTCTCCCCTGAAAATAAATTCCAACTTCATAGAAGTGATTGCATCAACCCCAGAAAAGATTACCAATTACTATCTGGAATACATGTCTAATTTCTGGCTCCATGGACAAGCAACAGATCAGATAATGAAAGATAACTTCCCCTCTTACTAAAAAAAAAATCCAGTTCAGTCAATTAGTCAAACCAGACTGACCAAGCAGACATTGCAATAAAGACAAATCACTTAAACATCTACTTGACATACAGATTCTTAAATGAATTTATATAGCTTGGCAAAAAAGGACACTATTTTAGAATCAGTCATTTAAGCAGATGCATACTTCCCCAATCCTGGACGATAAAGTCAAGCATTCAGAAACTCGTCAGGAGAGAGGTATTTTTACTAGAACGCAGAGGTCAGACACTATAAAGGATTATACAGGACATACTTAATCAGACAGGTGTTATTATTGCTTAATTGTTTTTTTAGGGTTTTTTCAACAACCAAAGATGCTTACACATATGGAATACAAAAGTGGTGAAGGAACAAGCTGCTTCTAGCCAAATGGGAAATTCTTTGATATACACTGGACAGCAAAGCATAGGAAAGGAAAGGGAAAAAAATAGACAATCAGAAAGCAAAGAGAAAAAGCTGTAAGACACTTAGAGCCATTCATAAGCACTTACTGGCAAGTTGTCAACAGCATTACACTTTCAGGCAAGAATGACATTGCCTTACAGCTGCTCTAAGAATTCAGTACAAAGCTGTACTCTAACGTTCACAGGATGAAAAGGATTATAAATGAAGCAAAGTGTGACCACAGTAGCAGTCCAAAATTCTAGCTTCTGCTATGATTTTGAAGTGTCAGATCTATACTAGAAACCAGATGAAGTAACGTCAGTTAAGAATGTGATTTTCTTTGACATTTCTGCACAGACACGTCTCAAGCCTAGATGAAGTTTATTTCAGTGTATCAGCACTTCTGCTAGTTAGCTTCATTCATGAAGCAATATTAAAACATTTCTGTTTGCATGGCAAAGAGAGCCTAAACAAGAATTGGTTTGCAAGTGGCAGAAAATCATTGTAGAACGTTTTAGTATCTACATTAGGAAAATCTGAAGCTCATCCTTTCCCAGCACAACAGAAAACTCAACAAGAAGTGGATGGCAAAGATTTCCATTGCCAAAAAGTGGCATGAAAATTTTGACTGCTAGAACTTTGGCATTTAAAATAAATGCAAAAGTACTCCAGACATTTTCTATAATACTTGGTCAAACGCACAGCACTAAAAGACCATGCAGAAATCAGCTGAAGTTAGAAGGAAGAAATTATTTTTGCCAGTCACAGATAGATTTGGAATCCAACAAGAATCATTCATTTAAATGGTCAAGCATACATATTAAAGTGTATCACAAAGCTTACTGATGCCCATTCCAAATTTACATGTAAGCTTAACGTTTTTCAAAAAAGCAAATAAAACAGTGACAGCTTAGCTAAATTCTTCAGTGAGGACTGGCTTTCAGCATCTGTTTGGAATATCACTACTATAAGAACAAGCCAGATTGCTACCGATAATTTTAACAACACTCCATGCAAGCCATACGCAATCAGCTTTACACAAGCTGATCAAATTTAATCACACCACCTTGGAAAGGAAGACTGCGAGACACATGCTCTTTCACCTCATTTCCCCATCCCCTTACACAATCAGGAATCTTCCTCAGCTTCTCCAGCCAACTGACTTTTGTGTACAAAAACATGGGGGAAAAAAAAACATTTTTAGAACTCAGCCCTAAAAGAAAAAATAAAGTCAACTAAATTTTAAATTAAAAATTGCCAAGTCATCCAGAAGACTTAAAGAAGGCAACAGCTTTGTTATGAATCATCACTGGTCACAGTTAGATGCTAAGCTGTCATTTTCTGATTCCAGTGGATACTATAGATACATGAACCTTTAACAATGTTTTATTCTACTTCTAAGACAAAACAGTATTTTAAGAAAAATCCTGCTCTTGTAATAAACTTACTTTGAAAGGTTAAAGTCAGTAACACAAAAGCATTATACAGAATAAAGAGAACAGAAAAGATTGCAAATAAGCACGCAAACAGAATTAAAAAGGAAGACTAGAGAACTAGAGAAGAGTAACACAACAGTTAAGGGGTTTTTGTTTGGCTTTGTTGGGGGTTTGTTTGTTTGTTTTTAATCAGCCAAATATTCATATCCTTCCTCCTGAATATCATGCACTGCATTTCTGCCAAGTACTGAGAATATCTTAAAAAAATATATATATTCTACATAGCTATGAAGGTAAACAAAGTTTTTGTAGTCATGCTGCTATTAGTCTCCATGGCCCCAAAAAACAATTCTCTCCCAGTTGCTAGTTATTTATACCAACTATAAAAGCAAAAAAAATTGCCAAGAGAAAACCTACAACTGTATGAACTAAAAGTCATTTTAATTCTCCAAAATACACTAGAAATTTACTTTCTATTTAAAACAGTGAACACTTAATGGGAGAGAACTCCTTCAAATAAAAAGATTGCAGACATACATTTGGGCAAAGTTTTAGAGTTAGGGCAACTACAATTGTCCTAGAGACTGCAAGTACTTGGACATGTACTCAGCAAGACGTATTTTTTTTCCCTCTCCACACAAAGAAGGTTCCCTAAGCAAAGATTTTGTATTTTTTTTCCCCAGTGACATTTTTGCACAGTTGCTTAGTAATTTATTGCTCTTACCAGTTTCTAGATGGGAAAACGCATACTGACTGCTAGAGGAAGAACCCATGTTAAAGTCCTCTGAACCTTGAGCTTCTTCACCATCAGCTGGAGCTTCCTCCTGACTTTGAGTTTCATCTGGTTTTGGAGCTTCCAGTGTAACAATGTCAGAATCATCACTAATAGTACCAATGCAGGACCCATCATCGGGGATTTTT